TCTCCAGCCAAACACACCATGCTACGCGTCCGTTGGGATCCTGTAACATCGTCCCATATTTCGCGGATATTGGTGAGGACCCAGTGACATATCGAAACGTCTGCAATGCTTTCTCCTGAATATCAGCTGTTCCACGACTTTAGCAAGTATCATTTACGTTTATTATTATTCGGACAGCATGGAGCCGGGGTTACTCAGTCGGTACAGCGACGGGATACAGGCTGATAGTATGGGGTTTGATTCTCGGCAGGAGCAAGAGTCCATTCTGTACTCCACAGTGTCCAGATCGACTCTGGGGCCCATTCACTTTCGTATCCAATTGGTATCGAGGCTCTTCAACCAGGAGTAAAGTGGCCGGGGCGTGAAGGTGACGTCTCACCTCCATCTAGTACAGAGTTCAAGAGTGGTGGAGCTACAACTCCACTCCCCCCTTATGTCTTCATGATTTAATGCATAATTGATTAACAACAGAGACAATTTTACCTTTGTTTACTAGTCAGCCTAATGATTTGAAACAAACAAATCGACGTATGGGTTAGCTTTACAGATTTCTACCCGGAAGGTTCTTAATTTGAATATTCGCTGGGACATAGGCCATACTCATTGAGGTTTCTCCTGTGTTTTCTCAGCCCTTGCTGGCAAATTCCGAGACAGTGCCTCTATCAGGTGATGACCGCTTCCTTCGAAGTCCTGTTCGATTCATTATTCAGTCATCATCCTACCATCCTAGGCTGCATTTCGTAACACAAGATGGGAAAGCTAAATTTGAACCGACTGAGCCGACGTAAGAGTAACACTATAGATTGACATTTGGGAAGTCTTGGGTTCGAATACCGGTAGACACACCTGATAAAATCAATGCCTACATAGTAGTTAGTTAGTTATTGGAGAAGGTGGGTTTCCCCATGCACTTACACCATTATTGGTCCATTGTGCTTCCCTCTATGATATTCTACCAGTCTCTATACCCTACTGATATTGGTACGTACCATCAGTCCGGACCGAGCCAGCGAGTTCGCCCTCTCTGCATTTCGTACCACAAGATGGGAAAGCTGAATTTGAACCGACTGGGTCGACGTAAGAGTAACACTATCGATTGACATTTGGGAAGTCTTGGGTTCGAATACCGGTAGACACACCTGATAAAATCAATGCCTACATAGTAGTTAGTTAGTTATTGGAGAAGGTGGGTTTCCCCATGCACTTACACCAGTATTGGTCCATTGTGCTTCCCTCTATGATATTCTACCAGTCTCTATACCCTACCGATATTGGTACGTACCATCAGTCCGGACCGAGCCAGCGAGTTCGCCCTCTACTGGCTTGGCGGTATCTATAATGCTTCCCCCATCTATCAGAGGCATTAGAGACTACTGTTGGGCGGGAAACGTCCTTGAATTTGGCTCAGCGACCTTGGAGATATGAGGTTCTTTTACGTGCCGTAAAGCTACGACACGGGACCCACGGCTTAAAGTCCCTCCAGGAGGACTTGTTCCCTGAATTTTTCCGCCCTTAAAAATTCCACGACCTCCGCCGGGTTTGAACCCGCGTACCACGAGTCATGAGGTGGGAACGTTACCTCTAGACTACGGAGGCCGCTTGCCTACATAGTAGCTCGAATAGGTTACGATAGCAAAGTCAAAGTTCTCCCCGTGCTTAACTAACTAAGCACTACGCCATTAAGGGGTATGGGGGGTGGATGTGTAGGCCCACGTTTTCTTGACCTCGGAAATATTTGGAGGTTAGTTTTCCTTCAAAATCCTTTCAAATTCATCATTCATTGATAATCTCCGCCATTGATGCTATAGAATCTGAGATACAGATTTTCTTTTAAAATAACCCACAAAACTTGTTTAATTTGAGGTTCACACGGATATGACTACGAAGGACGCCAACCTGTCTGTCAGAAGTTCATGATGTTTCGGCAACATTTACTACCTCCGTTTTTAGTTTCGAAAGGTAAGCCAACCAAGCAACGTATACTCAGCAGGTATAGCAAGTGTCACGTAACTTCGAACAAGGCCAAGAGTAACCTTGAATGCGCAGAAGAAAAATTTCAGACAAGGGGGTGGGTTCGAGGGTGTGAGAAGTGACAGGCGGCCTTGGCCTTGTTCGAAGTCACGTGACACTTGCTTTAGCAGCTACCTTTAGACACACGACTTCCGTTACTCTTGGGTTCCAACTTCATTCCCGCCTTCTCCGACCTCCCCGTTCTTGCAAACAGGTCATTATCCAGCCATTAGCTTCATTTATCCTTGTTCGTATTGGTTACCTCAGGCCTCCTTTACCGTACCACATCTGAACCAAGTTTTCTATCTGCGGTTATCTCTGTTTGCTGCTTATTTCTTGCTGGAATTTGAGCGGCTGACTCTTAGACCCTGAAAATGGATTCATTTTGTCACGATGTAAGGGGTTTGTGGTGCCTTATAGACGGGCCTTGGATTGGATGATTGGATTTATTGACACGTTATTCACAGAACTCGGGATCGCAGGCTACTGCTGATCTACACACTTTACAGTTCACCGTTTTACACACAAACACACACACACACACACACACTAGGATTCTCAGTCTTCATTAGTCGTATCCTGTCAACGGATTTATAAGT